GACGACGACGACGACGACGACGACGACGACGACGACGACGACGACGACGACGACGACGACGACGACGACGACGACGACGACGACGACGACGACGACGACATCCCATCCGACCCCAAATCCGCCCCAAACGGCTCCCCGGACCCCTTCCCAGGGTCCAGCCTCGACAAGTTTTCCATCCTGGGTCGATCTCTGAAGGCAGGGGGCCCGATGCAAGCTCCCAGAGGCCGAAGATGGGCAGAAAACCCGTAGGATGAAGCACATCGGGAAGTCGGATCGAATCAGAACTTGGGTCGGATCGGCCTGCCTCGTCCCGAAATCGACATGAAATCGCACTGGCTGTGCCAAGATGTTAAACAATGTCATGCAAACATAAGGCCGCATCGGATGGTCGGAACACCGGAACCGAACCAAATCGGACCGGACAAAACCAGTATCGAACCGGATCGAAACAGGCCCAACCGCGAGCCGCGACAACGACGTGCCCCGACCCTGGCCGTGGCCCGGGGTCCTGGGAGGGGGCCCCAGGATCACAGGGGGAAGTCCCGCCTTCAGGGTCGGCGGCACCGGTCGTGAGGCCTTCACAGTAGGCCCTGCCTCAAGTCACGACAGCGACGACTGCGGCGTCCTGGCCGTGGCCAGCAGGCGCCCGCTCGCCCGCGCTGCTGCGCCCGTGCCCCACTCGCCCGCGGGCTGCGAAGAGCGCCCTGCCGCCGTCCCTGCCGCCGCCGCCGCCCGACGACGACGCCGCCCGCCGCCCGCCGCCCGCCGCCGCCGCCCGACGACGACGCCGCCCGCCGCCCGCCGCCCGCCGCCGACGCCGACGCCTACGCTGACGCCGAGGACGAGGAGGGGGAGAGGAGGAGAAGGAGGAGGAGGAGGAGGAGGAGGAAGAGGAGGAGGAGGAGGAGGAGGAGGAGGAGGAGGAGGAGGAGGAGGCGGAGGCGAGGCGGATGCGGTGCGAGGCGGAGGAGGAGGAGGAGGAGGGGAGGAGGAGGAGGAGCGAGGAGGAGGAGTGAGGGAGGAGGAGGAGGAGGCGGTGGAGGAGGAGGAGGACGACCACCACCACCACGGCGGCGGCGGGGCCTTGTTGGCGACGGCGGAGGCGAGCGCGGCGGCCGCCGCAGCGCTCAGGCTGGTGCCCAGGCTTGGCGCCGGCGGCGGCAGCACGGCCTCGCCGGCGGTCACGGCGGCGGCGGCGGCGGCGCTTGTGGGGGCCCTTTGGGGCCTTCGGGGGCCCTGTCGGG